AAATGTGTGCACCGATATATCTCGCTTATCTGTTCACACGCGTATTTAGGTACCCGTGTATAAAAAGTTACGTTTGATTGGTGCCTCCCTCTCTCTCTATCTCTCTCTCTCTCTCTCTCTCTCTCTCTTTCTATCGCTCTCTATATTTCTCTGTATCTATCTAGCTAGTTACAAAGGTTTGCTGTGTCTGCTGCATGCAAATGTATGTACACAAATGTTTGCGGATTTGGGTATATGCTGCGTACATCGATCTCTGCGTGTAGATGGATGTTCGGTTATATGACTGAATGCGAATATACATATAACGATATGAGCATGGCAATGTAGACAGTTATATATATATATATATTTCCTTCTGCTTTCTCTACCTAGGCTCTGCCTAGAAGGGTTCTTACTCTGTTAGCTAAATGGGCTGGGCACTGGAAGCCGCCCCGGGCGGTTCCCCCGGCCCCCGCCCCGCGGTTCCCCCAGTCCCCTGGGAGCTTTAGCCTTAGCTTTAGTTTTAGCTTAGGTTTAGCGTTAGCTTTAGCTTTACCTTAGTTTCAGCTTAGCTTTAGCTTAGTGCTAAGTTAGCTTTAGCTTAGCTTTAGCTTAGCTTCAGCTTAGTGTTAGCTTAGCTTCAGCTTAGCTTTAGCTTAGCTTCAGCTTAGTGTTAGCTTAGCTGTAGCTTAGTGTTAGCTCAGCTTTAGCTTAGCTTCAGCTTAGCTTTAGCTTTAGCTTTAGCTTAGCTTTAGCTTAGCGTTAGCTTAGCTTCAACTTAGCTTTAGCTTAGCTTTAGCTTAGTGTTCGCTTAGTGTTCGCTTAGCGTTAGCTTAGCTTTAGCTTAGCTTTGGCTTAGCTTCAGCTTAGCTTTAGCTTAGCTTCAGCTTAGCTTTAGCTTAGCCTTAGCTTAGCTTTAGCTTAGCTTTAGCTTAGCTTTAGCTTAGCTTTAGCTTAGCTTTAGCTTAGCTTTAGCGTAGCTTTAGCTTAGCTTTAGCTTTAGCTTTAGCTTAGCTTTAGCTTAGTTTGAGCTTAGCTTTAGCTTAGTTTTAGCTTAGCTTTAGCTTAGCTTTAGCTTAGCTTTAGCTTTAGCTTTTGCTTTAGCTTAGCTTTAGCTTAGCTTTAGCTTAGCTGCAGTTTAGCTTTAACTTAGCTTTAGCTTAGTGTTAGCTTTAGCTCAGCTCTAGCTTAGCTTTAGCTTAGCTTTAGCTTAGCTTTAGCTTAGCTTTACTGTTACTACGAATGCTGCTTTCCTAGGGGCTCCAACTCCTAGGTAGGGTCGCACTGGGATGATTTATATACATATACATATTTTTTTTATATATATATATATATATATATATATATATATATATATATATACATCCCCCCCCCCTCTCTACAGCGACATACATACATACTTGTACAACTACGTATAAAAAGCGCGTACGTAATGGTACTTCTGGGTACTAGTTCAGATATATATATATATATATGTCTCTCTCTCTCTCTCTCTCTTTCTCCCTCCCTCTCTCTGTCGACATCATTATGTTGGTTATGTATGTTTCCCTCTAGATGTAGATGTATCCTACTTATAGATAAAAGTAGATATGCAAATATGTATGAGCACGTATTTCTATACATGTGAATATATGTAGACAGATATCACTTTCCTCCCCGTTCCCGGCTCCAGGCTCCCAGCTCCCGGCTCCCAGTTCCCGGCCCCCCATTCGCTCCCGGCTCCGAATGCTGGTTCCCAGGTCCATGTCCCAATTCCCAATGCCCGTTCCCGGTTCCCGGTTTCTGGCTCCTGGCTCCCAATTCCCAACTCTGGTTGTCGATTCCGGAATTCGGGCTCCTGGTTCCGAAATTCCCGGTTCCCGGTTCCTGGTTCCTTGTTCTGGGGTTCCCTCGGCTCCCGGTTCTGAGTTCTCGGTTCCTGGTCATTTTTCTTTCTCTCTCTCTCTCTCTCTCTTTCTTTATGTATCCCTTCTCTGTTTCTCTCTCCTCTCTCTCCCTCTAGATTTATCATATCAGTGTCTCTCCTCTCTCCTTCTCTCGATCCTGTTGTGATGCTGGCATTCATTTCGTGTTTCTCTCTCCGTTTCTCTATCCAAACATATATTCGTGTTTCTCTCTCCGTTTCTCTATCCAAACATATATATATATGTATATATATATGTATATGTGTACCCACTTACACATTAATCCATACATCGAGATACTATATTACACACGCTCTCCCCATATCTCTCTCTCTCTCTCTCTCTTCTCTGTTTCTCTTTTTCTCTGTCTTTCTCTCTCTCTCTCTCTTTCTCTCTCTCTCTCTCTCTCTCTCTCTCTCTCTCTCTCTCTCTCTCTCTCTTTCTCTATATATATGTATTGTTCTCTACGTCTCTATCTCACTCCCTCCGATCTCTCTCTCTCTCTCTCTCTCGTTGCGCTCTAGATGTATATTTCGTCGATTTATAAGTACGTGTATATACACACGGTTTGTCTTTATATGTAGTTCAAGTTAACCCTACGTGTGCGAACCATTCAGTGATGTGAGGTACATATGTATAGTTATATCGGTGTACAGCTACCCCAGGTCTTTACGTGTGTGTACGCATAGGTGCGCATGTACTCGATAAGCATAAGCTCTCGCGTTTACTTGGTGTCTCTCCATCTCTCTCTCTCTCTCTCTCTCTCTCTGTGTGTATCTAGCTATACGATGTCCCATGGATGTGCATTAGCACATGGATACACAAGTGCTGATGTATCTGTGTCAACACTGAATACAAAGTTCGCTGCGCTTATAGATATGTGGTACGATGGCGGGGGTAGAATGAGCTGCGCCTGACACGGTACACATACAAATGTACGCGCCTAACACTATAATAACCCCTTACCGCCCCTTCTCTCTCTGTACCCCCCTCCCTCTCTACAGCGGCATGCTTACATAATTTCATGCATACACAGATATACATATCCATATATGTGCATCGTGCACCTACTCATCTCTTTGAGTGCATATTCAGATATAACTATATATTTCTCTCTCTCTCTCTCTCTCTCTCTCTCTCTCTCTCTTTGTTCTCTCATGTAGGCAATATGATTATTGTATCTCTCACCCTCTCTGTTTAAAAATTCCCTACTTAGGCTCTGCCTAGACATGTTCTTACTCGGTTTGCTTAAAGGGCCAGGCAGTGGGGCACGCCCCGGGCGGTTCCCCCAGTATCCGCCCCGCGGTTCCCCCAGCTACGTCCCCTTAGCTTAGCTTAGCTTAGCTTAGCTTAGCTTAGCTTAGCTTAGCCTACGTCATCTTAGTTTACCTCAGCTTAGCTTAGCTTTGCCTAGCCTACTTAGCTTAGCTTATGTCATCTTAGCTTAGCTTAGCCCAGCTTAGCTTAGCCTTGCCTAGCCTAGCTTAGCTTAGCTTAGCTTAGCTTTGCGTAGCTTAGCTTACTTAGCTAAACTTAGCGCAGCGCAGCATAGCGCAGCGCAGCATTAGCACACCATAGCATAGCATAGCTCAGCATAGCATAGCATAGCATAGCATAGCTCATTATAGCACCGTATAGCTAAGCATACCATAGCATAGTGCAGCATAGCATAGCACAGTATAGCGTTGCTTCGCATAGCACAGCGCAGCATAGCATAGCACAGCATAGCATAGTATAGATGTAGGTGTAGATGTGTGTGTAGATGTAGATGTAGATGTGGGTCTCGCTGTTGATGTTGATGTAGATGTAGATGCAGGTGTAGATGTAAATGTAGCTGCCGGTGTAGATGTAAATGTTGCTGTCCTAAATGCTCCAACTCCTAGGTAGGGTATCACTGAGATTATTATGTATACAAAGCTGTATATGTGTATATATGTATGTGTATGCTTTTATGATTTCTCTCTCTCTCTCTCTCTCTCTCTCTTTCTGATTGAATATGTATACATACCCTCGGGATCCCCAATTCCCGGACAGATGTCCTGAGCCAAAACTCCCGATTCCAGGTTCCTGGTTCCTGGTTCCGTTCCGGGCTCCCGGTTCCCAACTCACAGCTCCTGGTTCCCAATTCCCGTCTCCCAAATCCCCATTTCCGGTTCCCGACTCCCGGTTCTGGGCTCCCGCGGTTCCCAATTCCCGGCTCACGGTTCCCGGTTCCTGGCTCCCGGTTCCCAATTCCTGGTTCCCGGACCTGTTTCCCAGTCCCCGGTTCCAGGTTCCCGGCTCCCGGTTCCCGTTTCCTGGCTCCCAGTTCCCGGTTCCCGGTTCCTCTCACTATTGCTCAAATAGCAGGACGAGGAGGAGGAGGAGGAGGAAGAGGGGGGAGAGGGGGAGGAGAAAAAGGGAGGGAGGAAGAGGACGAGCAGGGCGAAGGCAGGATGACGACAAATCCAAATGAAGATGAATCAGAAACCTCTGAGAGCTTGTGGGTCTGGAGGATGTATCTGGCCCGCGGCTGTCCCAGAGCGTTTGGGAACGCTCTGAGAGTGAACGCTCTGAGAGCGTTCCAGAACGCTCTGGGTCAATCCATCCTCATCCTAGACCTGCATGAAAGAAGGACGGGGAGGAAGTGAAACGAGGCACAGGCATCCAGACACCACAGCGCTAGCCAGCTCTACACGGACTGGTACAGCTGCATGTCGTGGCCTGGAGCGGACGTCGACCGTGGCACCAGTCCGTGGACCGAGGACAGCTTGGGTGCCGTCGACCTCGAGGAAGAGGAGGACGACTGCGACGACGACCTCACGTTTCTCACATGTTTCCCCCTCATCCTTAGGGGCCGCCGACCTCGATCGCGACGCTGGCCTGAGCACCGCCGACATTCGCTCACGGTGCTCTGGGCGGGGTCACGACCGAGAGGGGGAATGGCGAGGCGGGGGACAGGCTCGGCGCGCTCGCGCCGTATCTGACATCCCACCCCTCCCACTCATCCCTTCCCATTGCGCCGACTATTTTCCCTATCTGGATGCGAGCCCCGGCAGGAACACTTCAAATGAAAAACACGATGGGCACCGGGGAGAGTCAATCATAGTTATTCTCCAGAAATGGGATTTCAGCTGTCGTTGGAGCCGGGGCCACAAAAGGACAGGTTCAGGGGAGAGAGCAGAGTATTACTCACACCAAGTAGTTGCACAGAGAGGATGGATGAGCAGAGGGACGTCGGGGATGCGGGGGAGGACGACCACCCCAAAGATAGGCAGGAGGACGAGTACGACCTCGAGGAGGAAGCGGAGGAGGGGGGGCAAGAGGACAGCGCTAACCTCGAACGTGGCGTCGTAGTGCGCGCTGTGGGCATCTGCTGGGAGTGGGTTGCCTTGCGGCCCTTGCCGTCCAGGCCCACGCTCAGGTGGAAGCCCATGAGGTTTGCCAGTGTGTCCACCCTCGAGGAGGGAGGAAGAAGGACGAGGTGGAGCAGGGAGGAGGGAGGAGAGAGGAAGAGGAGGAGGAGGGAGAAGGAGAAGCAGGAGGAGCAGGAGGAGGAGGAAGGAGGGAGGAGGGAGGGAAGAGAGGGGATTCAGAGGGAAGAAGGGAGGAGAAAGAAGGAAGAGGGAGAGGGAGAAGGGGAAGAGAGGAGGGACGACGAGATTAGATGGGAGTTACAAAAGTTTCAAGGTACACACAGGGGCGATTGATGGCTATACGAAGGGTAAATGGAGGACGGGGAGGACGAACCTCTTGTTCGCGAGCTTCAGACTCTTGTGCATGCTGAGGACGGTGTTGTGAATACGGCATAGGTCTAAGCTGCGCGCACCCCCTTGAAGCCGGTACAGCGTCTTGGCGAAATGGTCCTCAGAGATCACGCCAGTGCCCAAGGGATCGAAGAGGTTGAAGAGGACCTTAAAGGAGAAGGAGGAGGAGAACGACGACGATGAGGAGGCGGCGGCGGCGAAGGAGGTTGAGCAAGGGGTAGGCCTGCGAGCTCTGGAAGTCGAGGTCAATCCCAAACTCCTGCAAGCAACTCTGAGCTCTCTCGTCGGTGAACAGCTTATTGATGTCGCTCCACTGGAGCTCGCCCTCGTTGCGTGTGTCAAGGATCTTGAACAGCTCCTTGGCGGCCTGGATCCAGACCGATTTCCTCTGTATGTTGTCGAGGATCCTAGTCGCCTCGTCGTCAGAAACACGCTGAGCCGAGTCGACAAAAATCGCTGTAATCCGCCACACTGGGGTGTGCTGGAATGTCAGGTGCTGCCCGGCAGGGTTTCTGCGATCTTCCAAGCCCCCCCCCGTCTTCCAGCACTAAGCGGCGCTGCGTGCACCGCCCCCCCGCCCCACACTCCATCGTAAAAGGCAATGGGCCCGCACTCCAGGGAATGGGATCCCTCGTAACAATCGATGGATCTGCGCTCCCGAGGCCGCGCTCCCGAGGCCACGACAACTCGCAAAGAAAAAAACGGCGTGTCCGCGCTCCAGCTTCCGGGACGGCCGAGGCAGGCAACCAACGCTGCCAATATGACCTTGGACGGCTCCAAGACGGCCAAAGGTGCCCAAGGCAGCACAAGATGGCCTCAAGACGGCCCAAGCGGGCCCCAAGACGGCCCAGGAGGGCCACGAGAGGACCCCCAGTAGGGCCCGAAGAAGCCGAAACCATGCATGTTCCTGGAATATTTGGAAGATGTTGGCGTCTTCTCAGTTTCGGGTTTCCTTCAGCTCCAGACGGCCGTGGCGGCCTCCAATATGGTCCAAAGACGTTCCAAGATGGTCGAAAGTTGGCCCAGACATCCTCCAAGGCGGCCTCAAGACATGGCCCCGACACGGCCCAGGACGGCCCCAAGAACCCCACGAGGCCAACGCAGAGGAGAGGCGCGACAAAAAGATAGAGATGAGCGTGCCCCATTTTACGGCTCTCCCAAGCATGAGTACGCGAACGGCCTCCGTGCCCCTCGGACAGTTGCCACCCAAAATGCTGCACCTGGACCTGCCGCAGGCAGAAAGATCACATTCAAGACAACGAATACGGCGAGCATGATGTATACGCAAAATGCGAAAGTCACCAGAGGGCTGATCTCGGTCAGAGTATCCGAAACATCGCCCCAGGAAGAGCCACCAGACATGGCTTTAAACAAAGTGTACATGCCTCCCACCAGTGAGTTGAAGTTATTCCTTATGCTGCACCCAGCCCCTATGTCATTGCTGCAGTCCACATTGACAATCGTCTCATGTCCAGAGTCCTCGAGGTATGCGAGACTAGCCTGCAGGAACACTACAGAGAATGTGTAGGTCATGATGCCGATCAACAACGAAGCCCAGAGCAACGACTTGCCGCAATTCATTATCCCAGCAACCATGATGCGGAGCTCGCGGAAGAAACGTAAAATCCTGATCACGCGCAGCGCGCGCACCAGCCGTAGCACGCGGACCACTCGGAACGAAGATATGCGGGTGCGCCTGGTCGCGAAGACGAGCACAGCGACCTCTTCCGCGACAGACGACGCCACGATGAGAAAGTCGAAGGCGTTCCAGGCGAAGCCTTTGTTCCCCCAGTAGAAGAAGTGGGCCCCCTCGCATGCGATACGCAGTACGAGTTCCAGAAAGAACGCAAGCGCAAACGCTCGGTTAATCCATATCCAGCTCGTCAGATCTTGGCTCGCGAGTGGCTCGCCGTAGTGGCGCATATCCCAGTCTGCCTGGTGGCCAATGGTACAGGCATTGGCGATAATGACCACCGGAACAAGGATCTGGAACAGGATGCTGTGCGTGCACTTGTACGCGAATGCGCCCAGGGTGGAAGATGTCTCGCGGCGCTCAGACTCCCCCGAGTTCGTCAGTCCCCAAAAGAAGAAGTTCTTGTCGGACTCCTTCAGCCTGTTGAGCTTGTCCTCCAAATTGAACTGCTCTTCCGGGGCGGTCAGCTTGCGAGGCGAATAGTCTGAGACCGAGAAATCGGAGAGGGAGGCGGAGCGGCTGGCCAGCACAGGATCTGCCAACCTCCGCTTGCGGGGGATGAGAAGGCGTATGAGATGCTCGGCCTGACAGCTCAGCAAGAAGTGCAAGCAGGCAGCTCGACGGGAAGCGGCAAACAACACATGCGAAATCGGAAGCCGCACGTGTTGGGCGCGGCCTAACCGACCCCTTTCGTGACGAGCCCACTCCGTGACGACACCCATTAAACTCGAGGCTCCCCTGCGGCTTCATGTTCACATCTTCGCGCGAGGCGAGGTGGTCGTCACGGAAGGGCTCGGTTTGCCAGGGGCCCGTAAGGCCGCCACTGAATACACCCTATTATTCACTGTTGGAGAAGAAGGGAACGACGAAGAAAGCCGAGGGGACGAACGTGAACGAGTGCAACGAAAAGGAGAAACAATTAGCCTGGCACGACTGGTCGAGAGGGCAAGTTGAACTCACGAGCATGGGGCCCGAGACTCTAGCGTCCAAATTCGCCCGCCCAACGGGCCAGAGGCGTGCTAAGATCTCCGGTAACTGGTTAAGAATTCTCTAGTTCGCGCGCGCGGGGCGGCCCCTGGGGGTCCCCGGACGAAAAGTACCCCGGCAAGGTCCTGAGAGAGTCCCGGGAGGAGTCCCCCAGAGCGCTCCAGGAGCGCTCCATGAGCGCACCAACAGGGCTCCGAGACGTCCCCGAGAGCCCCAAGAAAGGCCAAGAGGCCCCCAAGAGGCCCCCAAGATGGTACACGAGGGGTCCGACATGCCACAAGATCGCTCCAAGACGCCCAAGATAGCCCCCAGACGCCCCAAGAGGCCTCCAAGAGCACTCCCAAGAGGGCCCCCGGAGGCAAAATTCATTGTTTTTCCTTAGGTTTTTGATAGATTTTGGAGCTTCCACCTTTTCGGTTCCCGACGCCCCAAGACGGCCCCAGAGGCCCCCAAGATCGCCCCAAGAGGGCCCAAGAGGCCCCCAAGAGGGCCCCAAGATGGCCCAAGAGGGCTCGAAGACGGCCCAAGAAGCCTCCAAGACGGTCCAAGAGGGCCCCAAGAACACCCCCAAAGGGGCCCCAGAGAGGGAACACGAAACAAAATTTCGAGCCCTCGGCCCTAAGAAGCCCCTACGAGGCCCCAAGAGGCCCCTAAGAGGCCCCAAGAGGCCCCCACGAGGCCCTCAGGAGGCCCCCAAGAGTCCCCCAAGCGGCCCCAGGAGGCCCCCCAAATGCCCCCCCGAGCGCCCCAGAAGTCCCCCAAGCGGCCCCAGGAACCCCCAAAGCGCCGCATTGACACCAGGCCCTCGGGCAAACGGCAGACATGAGACCGCATGGGCCGGCGGAATGAGCGAAGCGATTCAATAACAGTGGGCTGTCGAATTACAAAAGGCAAAGACTGCAAGACCACTGGCAAACGCGAGAAAACTCGGGAGGAGAAGTGGCAGCCAGGGGAAGGGGCAGAGGGAAAGAAGGAGGGGATACAATCGGAAGCGGGGGAACGGCAAGACGATTGCGGGGGACTGAAGACCCTCATGAGACAGGGGACCAGGCATGCAGCTCCCGAGCCGTTCGACTACAGGACCGTGCCCACGGAACGTCGGGCGTCGGCGGAACGGCGCAGGCCCATCGGATAAGATGGCGTGGCAGAGCCCTCGCTCAAATAGAACTTGCCCTTCGAGACCGCCGGCGCCACCGCCGAGGCGGCCGCCTCCGAGTCCACCCTGCTCGGGCAACTCGCGGTGGACACCCTGCGGCAGGAGCCGTCCCTGCGCGGGTCTTGCCAAGGGCGCCCCTGGCCCAGGGCGTCCCCAGGGCTTCCCAGAGGGCTCCCGCGGCCTCTCAGGGCACCCCATCACGGGGCCCAGAGCTTAGACGCCCGAAATGGGCACGGAAAAAATCGGCACAATGCCCAACAACGAATGTTGTCCCAAACGAACAGCGGCCGCTGTTGGGCAGGCGGCCTTCTGTTTCAAATAGACACAGGCCGCGGTGGCGCGGACAGCGAGTCCTGGTCAAAATGGACAGGGTCTGCTGTTGGGCAGTGTACCCATTTCGTTCGTGCCGACAGAGGTGAGGGCCCCAGGAGCTTGAAAAAAGACGCAAAGGCTGAAGGCCCCCCCTGGGCGAGGGACAGCTTGAGCAACCCCTGACCTGTGCGCCCGGGGGCTCTGCCCCGGCCTCTCCCTGACCATGTTCCCAACCTTCCAGGGACGCCAACTGACCGGGCCGACCCAGGGTCCAGGATCGGTGCAGACGCTGGCCAGGCAGGGAGGCGCTGGCACCGGACCTGGGCCCAGGATGGGCCCGGCCAGCGGGAAACGTGCACCTGACGTCCCTCGAAACCTGGCGCACAATCCATTTCGCCTGCGACTGGAGCATCGCCTCGTGCTTGTCCTGTGCGTCCAGCAGCTTTAGCAGGCAGTCCTGCTGCAACTCGAGCGCCGCCGCGAAGTCGGACAGCTGCCTGCGCGGCGTCTCGGTGAGGCGGCGGCTGCTGCGTCTCATCGCGTTGAGCTGATCCCGCAGGGACTGCCTCCCCTTCTCGTCGCTGGACGCGTCCTCCTCCTCCTCACAGCTGGGCATGCTAGTGGGGCCGTCCATCCAAGCAGCTGGCCCACCCACGCAGAGGCTGGGCGCTGCAGGGAGGAAACGCTTGGGCAAGAACTGGTTTTGCAGAGAACACGGTTGATGAATGTTGGGGGGGGGTGACCGGCCTGGAAATCGGTCATGTCGCGCCGCGCTTGCGGACGAGGTGAAGATGTGCGAGCAAGCGAGAGGCGATTATCGGCCGCAGCGTGGGGCAAGCTCGCCTAAAATACATCCCTGGAGTGGCCTTGGAGTGATCCTTGGCGAGAATGGGGAAAGAGCAGAATGAGTTGAAGGTGAGGAAATTCCTGACGGGGGGCTACGGAATAATCTCCTGGCGAAGGACACAACCAGATGAAGTTGTGAGTACCGCGTTATGGGCACGTACCACGAAGCGTGAGGGGCGCGCCGAAACGAGCGCGGCGGTGCCATGCGAACGCAGCTACTGAGGCCTTCGGTTGAGCTCGATGTGGGGCCACGAAACGTGTAATGGTGTGCCGAACAGGGTGGATGCGGCGGTGCCATGCGAACGCAGCCGCTGGGGCCTTCGGTAGGCTCCCGCATGGGAGCACGACACATGTGAGGTGTGTGTGTGCGCGTGCGCGTGCGCATGCGCGTGCGTGTGCGTGTGCGTGTGCGTGGGCGTGCGCGTGTGCGTGTGCGTGTGCGTGTGCGTGTGCGTGTGCGTGTGCGTGTGCGTGTGCGTGTAGTTCAACGTCTCGGATCAATTCAGCCGTAGACTATAGAATCGATGCGGCACCAAGGGGCAAACATTTATTGAACGTCCTTGGTGCCGAGATTCTTGTCTGAAGAGTCCTCGCTCTGCGAATTTTGGATTCTTTTGCATCGCTGGGGTGCGAGGGGGCATGAACTTTCAAAAGTGGTTTGAAAAGTCAGGCCAGCACATGTGCAGGGCTTTGGGGGGACAGCGCGTAGCAGCAGCAGCAGCATGTGCATCCGTAGTGCCATCTCTGGTTCAGGATTGGTTTAGGCTGGTGCTTCATGCCTGTCGCTGCACACTTAAGTGGGTCAATCCTGAGATCTTGGCCTGGCAACGCATTAAAAATCGCCGTCATGCATATGCTTTCCTCTTCATGACAGTGTTACTGTGGACATATGGACTTGGCCGAATCTGCCGACGCATCACCTCCACCATCTACGTACAAACACATGCTTCACCTGTACATATACACGCATGCATCATTGCGTTCTTCTCCAGTTGTATTATTTTCCGGTTTCGTGGCCCTGGCGGGGGCAAACAGTGCTCTGCTTGACCCTTCGGACATGCCGCTCCAGGGGCATCTTGAACGTCGAGACCCTCTAATGTATGCAGATCGACACACATTTGTCTCAAGCCTCTCCCGACACGTTTGCACAGTCGGGGCTCTTTCTCGCCGGCTTCAGCTTCCTGCTCAACTCTTGGCTGGGCCTGCAACGCAATGCCCCGACGAGCTACGAGACGTAAGACATAGTATATTGTGGAACCTGCTCGCTCCTACACCGTCGCATGCGTTTCTATTTCTTTTCAACACATACAGCGTGAACATCTCGGCATACAGCATACGCATGGTCGCTTGCACACGTAGCACGCGCTCCTTGTATTAGCATCTATTACCATCGGCGCCACTTTGCTAAACATCCGGCGCGCTGCCCTTGGGGCGCGAAAACAAGCTTGGAAGCTAAACGCACGGCCCGCCCCCTTCCGCCTGAAGTTCAACGTGCATTTTTTCGCGCGTCGTTGGCTGGTTTTCGGGATACGCTCGCTCTGGTACAACTCGTCCGCCTTCAGATGCAGTAGTGTTTGGCGATCGCACCTCGTTGTCCTATGGATATGTCTACCAGCTTGGTTTTCGAGCAGGTACATTGGACGGCGCAAAGCGTTTGGGTCCATGCGTGCGCACACAGGCTTCCTATACAGACTCCGCGAGCACTGGCGCGATCGTCGAAAAAGGAGCTCAAAATACGCGCAGGTCGTTATGACCTCATGCTTCGCATGGATGGTTCTGACTTTTATGCTATGGCGATGTAAACTACGCCCTAGGAACAATTACTCCCTTTAGAAGCTGGTCTGATCGATTTGCATACTCCAGACGCTAACTTCCAGAGTACCGAACCGTCGCTGCCTCGCCCGGCCCGCGCGCAGCCCCGCCCCAGACCCCGCCGCCGACGCAACCAAAGGCACATGTACTCTGCTACAAAAACACGAGATACTATCATTACGTTTGGGGAAGATTGGCACGAACACTGTCTACGTATACTCGGAAATAAGTTTACTGGTCATCAAACTGTCGTCCAACGCCGCCTTGAACTTCAAATGTTTCTGCGCCAACATCTTCCACAAGCGCGCGCATGTTCTACGGCAGTTACCTACGTTGACATTCATGCACCTGGTGATCTTTTGCTTCTGCGCAGACACGCTATGTCCCGACTAGGAGACGCATCTTGGCTCCATGCGCGTCGCCTATGTGGTCGTCCTGCGGATTTCCCCCATGTTGCATGGGTTCGCACATCCGCGATTCCTTTCTTCCACGCTCGCGCCAAAGTAAGTCCGCGCCCAATTCGTGCACTTTCTTGCGTTTAAGGGGGAGGGCGCTCCGTCGCTGCAGCACGTCAAAGCACCCAGCCCAGCATGGAAATGCGCGCTCCAGCATTGGTTTTCCACAGTCGTCCAACAACAATCGCAACTTCGACCTCGTCGGGTTCACCTGGCCAGAATGCGCCCGCATTATCCTGATGCACCCCGAACCCTTGAAACGCAGGATGCTGAACGTTCCCAGTATTATACGGGAGGTTCGCTTGTACGACCTCGCAAAAATCCGCCGACCCTGTCGGCGTGTGGAATGGGTTGTTTTTCTTGTCCGTGCCTCCTTCCCTTTCCCACCTTCTCCGTCTCCTTCTCGTTCGTCTCCCCCTCCTCCTCCTCCTCCTCCTCCTCCTCCTCCTCCTCCTCTCCTCCTCCTCCTCCTGGCCTCCTCTCCTCCTCCTCCTCCTCCTCCTCCTCCTCCTCCTCCTCCTCCTCTTCCTCCGCCTTCTCCTCCTCCTCCTCCTCCTCCTCCTCCTCCTCCTCCTCCTTCATCTCGTCCTCCTGCGTAAAGTAAATTGACTCGAAGGGTTTCCCCTTCCATTTGTTCCTTTCCCCGCCTGGGGGGGAGTCCCGGGAGGGGTCCCGGGAGGGGTCCTGGGGAGGGTCCCTGGGTGGGTCCCGGGTCGGAATACCACTTCCCTCCTCCTGGGGGGTCCCGGGGGAAGCCTGGCGGGGGTCGCGGGGGGGGTCCCGGGAGGGGTCCTGGGGGGTCCCGGCGGGGGTATTGGGGGGGTCCCGGGCCAGAATACCACCGCCTCCTCCTCCTCCTCCTCCTCCTCCTCCACCTCCTCCTCCTCCTCCTCCTCCTCATCCTCCTCCTCCTCCTCCTCCTCCCTCCTCCTCCTCCTCATCCTGAGCGTCTTTTGCCACCTTTTCCATAAACTGTTCGTTTCTCCCGGGGAAGCCCGGGGGGTCCCGGGGGGGGTCCAGGAATACCACCTCCCTCCTCCTTGGGAGTCCCGGGGCAAGCGGGGGTCCTGGGGGGGGTCCCGGGAAGGGTCTTGGGGGAGTCCCGGCGGCGGTTCTGGGGGGTGGTCCGGCCAGGACATACACCTCCCTCCTCCTCCTCCTCCTCCTCTTCCTCCTCCTCCCTCCCTCCCTCCCTCCCTCCCTCCCTCCCTCCTCCCTCCCTCCCTCCCTCCCTCCCTCCCTCCCTCCCCCCTCCCTCCCTCCCTCCCTCCCTCCCTCCCTCCCTCCCCATCCCCTCCCTCCCTCCCTCCTTCCCCTCCCTCCCTCCTTCCCTCCCCCCCTCCCCCCCTCTCCCTCCCTCCCTCAACCTCCCTCCCTCCCTCCCTCCCTCCCTCCCTCCTCCTCCTCCTCCTCCTCCTCCTCCTCCTCCTCCTCCTCCTCCTCCTCCTCCTCCTCCTCCTCCTCCTCCTCTCATCATCATCCTCCTTCTCCTCCTCCTCCGCCTCCTCCTCCTCCTCCTCCTCCTCCTCCTCTTCCTCCTCCACCTCGTCCTCCTCCTCCTCCTCCTCCTCTTCTTCTTCTTCTTCTTCTTATGATTGTTCTTCTTATTCTTCTTCTTATTCTTCTTATTATGTTTATTCTTCTTCTTCTTATTATTATTATTAGTCTTCTTCTTATTCTTATTATTCTTATTCTTCTTATTATTAGTATTATTCTTATTATTCGTCTTATTATTCTTATTATTATTCTTCTTCTTATTCGTATTCGTATTCTTCTTCTTATTATTATTCTTCTCATTCTGCTAATGCTTCTTCTTAGTCTTCTTATTATTATTATTCTTGTTCTTTTTCTTATTATTATTCTTCTTATTATTATTATTATTCCTATTATTCTTATTATTATTCTTCTTCTTATTATTCTTATTATTATTCTTATTATTCTTATTATTAGTATTATTCTTATTATTAGTATTATTCTTATTATTCTTATTATTCTTCCTCTTCCTCTTCCTCTTCCTCTTCCTCTTCCTCTTCCTTCTTATTATTATTATTATTCTGTTTCTTATTATTATTCTTCTTCTTCGTATTCTTCTTATTATTATTATTCTTATTATTATTCTTCTTATTCTTCTTCCTCTTCCTCCTCCTCCTCCTCCTCCTCCTCCTCCTCCTCCTCCTCCTCCTCCTCCTCCTCCTCCTCCTCCTCCCCTCCTCCTCCTCCTCCTGCGCACGTGCTGAGGGGCGAAAGGGGGGAGAGGTCCTTCCGTCCTCGGGAAAAAAAAACGGGGAGGGGGGCCCTTCGGAGAGGACCTTTTTGTCACCCTGGCAGGAAGGCCGAAGACCTGCCAGGGGCCAGCGACGGGGCCCCCCTCACCCAAAACTAAGGCGGGCGGAGCGCCTGCCCGCTGGCGACGAGAAGGCCAGGTCGCCAGGGCTCTGCGAGAGGCACCCAGGTGGAGCCTTGAAGATACCTGCCCTGCGCGAGGCCTCGCAAAACACGCGCGCCCCACGCACTGGGACGGAGGTTGCACTTCGCCCTGAAAGAGGCAGAGAGCGCGACGCCTCCGACGCCGCAGACGGCACAGACCATGCCTGTGGCCCCATTCCCGAGGTGGATGGGGAAGGCCAGATGGGAGGGATGCCCATCTCTCCTGAGAGCAGCGAGCACCACGTCGGCTCGGGAGACGATGGGCGGCACAGCGACAGGAGGCGGCTCAACAGACAGGGCAGCATGGGCTTCGCGCACT